AAGCACGCACTGTGAGCACCAGGTCCGCCAGCAGGGAGGGGCTCTGCGCTCTCATGGGCGGGGCAGGGAGGATGACTCCACCCACCACAGAGCAGGAGGAGACATCGGCATCCGCCTCTCCAAGAAAGGGCTTGACACCCGCCCAAATATAGAGGACCCCCCAAAAATGCAATGATTAAAAACACAAGCAACCGAAATGAAGAAAGAAACATTTCAAATTAGAAGCACAGCTGGCTCCACACCTTTGGTCACCCAGAAAACGGACCTTAGAATCACAAGGAGACAGCGGGACACATCTCACAGACATAGCCGGCGGGGCGTGCAGGCTGGACGGAAACCAGGGTCACCCAGTGAAACAAAAGCCCCACTGTGCGCCGCGGCGCCCCACCCGGGAGCCACCCAGAGACTCAGACACAGACATGCAGAGCAGCTTGGCAGAGGGACGCAAACACATCAAAGGCAGGTGGCTGGAGGGAAGCCGCGGTTTGGTCTGGACCATACTGTGCTCGGGGAGCGGGCCCAGGGGGCCAGCCGGCGGTCAGGGAAGGACAGCCGGGCAGTGCTTGGAAGCGAGGGTGGAGAGACTTTGTCTCATTTTGGATGTGTCCCCATGAGGGGCCAGTCTGAGGAAGGCCATCGTGTTGGTCACCTGGAGGGGCAACGAGAGTGAGGGGAGCTGTGGGCGCAGACAGAGGAAGGCCACAAGGCCGCCACGAGTTGGGACTGACTGATGGCACCAGACGGAGGACATGCGGTGGGAGGATGAGAAGACCACCTCACCATATAAGCAGACGTTCATAAAGTTGGACAAAGAAACGCAGCAGAGGAAGAAAATGAACAGCGGGTCCTTTGGGGACCGTGGAGTCAAGGAGCACTCAGTCACAATGGCCAGGGAGAGAGAGCAGGCACAGCTACTAGAACCAGGAAGACTCTTCAGCCACCGCCCCACTTCATCTTGAGAGACCCCACTTTCCCCCTAGGAGCAGAATCAAGGCCAGGTGCTGCTCTGGCCACATCTACTCAATCCTGTAAGGAAGCGAGGTCCTAGCCAGGCTAGGAAAGGGCAGTTGGAAAACATGTATTTGTTTCAAGCTTTTTGTTGTGAATCGGGCGCAGGCTTACGGAGCACATCAGTTCTCCATCCATCCAGTCACACCCACTTGGTTTCTCTCATTGATGGCGAGCCCCAGGGTGTAACATCTCACTTCCTGCTTGGCTTCCTGGTTCCCTCCCCCCTCCTTTCCGAACCTCTGACCTCTGTCTGCAGGTCAGTGCCACCCGCCCCTTGATCTCAGACGGTCCACAATCCTAGGAGCCCAGGCCTCCCCAGTGTCACTGTTGGCTGAACAGCCCTGGCTGTGGTTTGGCTGGAAGCTGAGCCCTGAGGCGAGTGCCCCCAGACCCAGAGTGGGAGGGCATTCATTATCGACGTAAAGACGCTGCTGACCCCTTAAGGGCGTTTGGAAAGGCTGCAGGATTCGGGATCTCAGTATATGAGGGAAACAGAGGGATTTCTCTCAAGCTGTCTCCCCCAAATATATGCCAGACTTAGCTGCTTGAGAATGACTATACACTTGGAGGTCATCAGGAGTAGATCAGGGGTCATTCTCCCTAAGAGCTATCAGCCATCTAGAGCAAGCAGACACCACTGTTTACCCCACAACAAGTAGGGCCCACTCTCTTCTGATAAGGATAATAGTTGTCTGTTTCCTTGCAGGAGACCCCAGAGAGGTCAAACCCACCCAAGGATGACCAAGGTTAGGCTGCCATCATGAATCCAGGGTCCACCCATCTTGTCACATGTATATCCCTAGACCTTCCCATTGCTATGGGCACACCCCTAGCTCATGCCCTTTCTGATGTGTATGCCTAATGTACTGCCCCTTCCTGTGATGTGTGATTCTGTAATGATGTCCCCCTAAAGTGACAGAATGATTGGTGAGCAATAAAGAAAGAGCTCTCTCCGGCTCCTGGGGCCCGGGAGTTCTCCCCAGTTCTCGGCCCTGAGAGCTCCCCTGTTCTCCCGGCCAGGTTCCCCCCACGTGGACCATCAAGCAGGGCTGAGGTGAGCTTGCTACCATGAATTGTGTCTGACTCCATTATTCAAATCTCTCCTCTACCTCTCATGCTCTCTGTGACTTTACTATAATCTGTACTTGTTATCGCTGTACAATTGTGCCTACCGGACCTGTGATGATGTGTGGGGACCTCCCTCCCTCTCCCCACAAGTATACAAACATGAGGTTTA